TACCCGTGAAATCCCTATATGCACTCAACAAAACCAAAAGAACAGCCCTTTTTTGCTGTCCAATTGTATAAATGACTATAAGCATTATACTTATCTCCCCTTTGACATCCAAGCACAGTGAGGAAACTAGGTAACATGACTTTCCTTCTAACCTGTGCAGTGTACTAGCAAAAGCTAGGACCCTTCCCTAAGTATTAGCCAGAGCTAGGACCCTTCCCTAAATAAACTCTGTAAAGAACTAGCAACCTGTCTAAACTGAACTGTGGAATAAGGAGTCAGATAAAAATACATTAAGTTATTTAACCTATGTAAACAAACCACCTGTCTAAACTGAACTGTAGAATAAAGAGTCAGATAAAAATACATTCAGTTATTTAACCTGTGTTAACCAAACACCTGTCTAAACTGAACTGTAGAATAAGGAGTCAGATAAAAATACATTAAGTTATTTAACCTGTGTTAACCAAACACCTGTCTAAACTGAAATGTAGAATAAGGAGTCAGATAAAAATACATTAAGTTATTTAACCTGTGTAAACAAAACACCTGTCTAAACTGAACTGTAGAATAAGGAGTAGGATACAAATACATTAAGTTATTTAACCTGTGTAAACAAAACACCTGTCTAAACTGAACTGTGGAATAAGGAGAAGTATACAAATACATTAAGTTATTTAACCTGTGTAAACAAAACTCAACAAAATGTAAAGAATGGTAAATTGTACAAAAATTTGCTCACATAATTATCTGAATTTCTGTTTCATTGAATCTCATGAGTTTAAACCAATAATACCAGAAAATTAATAATTTAATTTATTTAATGATTTCCTAAAATATATTGTATGACGATCTATTCTGTTTAATACGTGAAGCGTTGTTACTGCTAAATCAGAGGAGGAGGAAATTTTAAATTTAATTTAGTGTAATAAAATTACCAATAAACTGAAATCAATCTTGACACTTGCATCATAGGCAATCTTCCTACTTTATCAACCATCCGAGCTGTAATCCACAGAGACATGGAAACTTAAAAAGAGTAACCTTATTATATGAATTATTATAAAAAAAAATATAATCTAGTGAGAAGTGATGTAGAGTAAACATCATGTTATTAAATTTCAAAGCAAAGAACGGAAACAAATTAAAGGACCAAAATTTGAGTTATTGCGTAGTTTGAACTGGAATTAGATTAAATATTACCTAAATAATAGAATACCAGAAATCAGATAAAACAGTAAAAAAATTGATTTGCTAACTCACATTATATATCAATATTCAAATATTACACTAAAACTGGCTGATCATATAGCTCATGGAAACTCGTGTATTAACGAAATAAAGTGTTGGCTTATAACTCCTGTATATAGACAAAAGTGTGCATTGAACACATATCACTCATAACTCCAGTATATAGACAAAAGTGTGCATTCAGTATATACCACAGATAACATTATTTACACAGAAGTGTGGGCTGAACATATGTATCTTACTGATATCTTCCTTATTTACACAGAAGTGTGGGAGGAACATATGCATCTTACTGATATCTTCCTTATTTACACAGAAGTGTGGGAGGAACATATGCATCTTACTGATAACTTCTGTATTTACACAGAAGTGTGGGCTAAATATATATATCTTACTGATATCTTCTGTATTTACACAGAAGTGTGTGCAGAACATATGTATCTTACTGATATCTTCTGTATTTACACAGAAGTGTGTGCAAAACATATGTATCTTACTGATATCTTCTGTATTTACACAGAAGTGTGGGCTGAGTATATATATATATAAATATATCTTACTGATATCTCTTGTATATGCACAAAAGTGTGGGCTTAGCATATATCACATTGATATCTCCTGAAAATCAACTGAAGTGTGGGCTGAGCATATATCAGACTGATATACCCTGTAAAACCACTTTAGCAAACTGACACTTTCTGTACCATAATAGTGTGGGCTGACATTATAGCAAACTGATACATTCTGTACCATAGTATTGTGGGCTGACATTAAAGCACACAGATACATTCTGTACCATAGTAGTGGGGGGCTGACATAATAACAAACTGATACATTCTGTACCATAGTAGTGTGGGCTGACATTATAGCAAACTGATACATTCTGTACCATAGTAGTGGGGGATGACATTATAGCAAACTGATACATTCTGTACCATAGTAGTGTGGGCTGACATTATAGCAAACTGATACATTCTGTACCATAGTAGTGTGGGCTGACATTATAGCAAACTGATACATTCTCTACCATAGTACTGTTGGCTGAGATTACAGCATAAAAATACATTCTGTACCATAGTATAGAGGGCTGACATATTAGCAAATAGATACATACTGTAACATAGTAGTGTCGGCTGACATTATAACAATCTGATACATTCTGTACCATAGTAGTGTGGGCTGACATTATAGCAAACTGGTACATTCTGTACCAAAAGTAGTGTGGGCTGAGATTAAAGCACACGGAAACATTCTGTACCATAGTAGTGTGGGCTGACATTATAACAAACTGATACTTTCTACTGATACATTCTGTACCATAGTAGTGTGGGCTGACATTATAGCAAACTGATACATTCTGTACCAAAGCAGTGTGGGCTAACATTATAGCAAACTGATACATTCTGTACCATAGTAGTGTGGGCTGACATTATAGCAAACTGATACATTCTGTACCATAGTAGTGTGGGCTGACATTATAACAAACTGATACATTCAGAACCATAGTAGTGTTAGCTGACATAATAGCAAACTGATACATTCTGTACCATAGTAGTGTGGGCTGAGCATATATCTCTATAATATCTCAAATGACCTAAGCATATATCACACGGATAATTTCTGTATTTACACATGAGTGTGGACTAGGCATATGTGACACTGGTAACTTCTGTATTTACACAGGATTGTTGGCTTAGCATATGTCACATGGAAAACACAAGTATTTATACTTATACCTAACACATTTGTAGGGAGTGGTTATAAAAGACAATTCAATTCAGTGCCTGGAAATTTCCAGAATGAAGGATTTCCTATCAAAATTGACCTCCTTTACTACATATGGTCTAAAATGGCAAGGGGGCAGGTTTGTACACACATAAAACAAGTTCAACAAAATTTTGTGCCTGTACCAAGTCCAGCTATCCGGACCCTGTGTTGTCCATCAATGTTTGTATATCTGTTTTTTTCAAATAAGTTGGGTGTGTGTGATTGGTCACTTTGTTTTGTTGTTGGGTGTTTGTGATTGGTCACTTTGTTGTTGGGTGTTTGTGATTGGTCACTTTGTTTGTTATACTGTTTATTAGTTAGTTGTTGTTATCCTTTGTAAGTATTACTATACACATTTAAGATAGATTCATCTATCCACTTTAAACAGATAAAAAAGAACCTTTGGAAGCAAACTCACATACCCTACGTCCCCACATTGTCACTGGGCGAACAAAATCACACCAGATTCCTAAGTTCAAAGACTCACAACTCATACAAAAGTCAACTGATAAAAATTTCTTGTGGATATGCAAATCTACATATTATGTCCTTATTATCTACAAAGTCTCATGAAATTCTGTTGTTTGGTTAATCAGTGGAGTTGCAATGAAAAACTGTTGCAGTAGTATATACTTGCCAAAATGCAAAGTTGAAAAAAAAACTGAATCATAACTTCCTGTCAATATGCACATCTACATAGTATGTCCTAACTATCTAAAAAGTTTCATGAAATTCTGATGTGTGGTTTCAGAGGAGTTGCGATGACAAACTGTTGTAGTAGTTCATTTAGGCAAAAGTTCTAAATTCAAAGGGACATAACTCCTTGAAAAAAAATTGAATGATAATTTTCTGTCCATATGCACATCTACATATTGTGTCCTAATTATCTACAAATTTCATGAAATTCTGTTGAGTGGATTCAGAGGAGTTGAGATGACAAGAACAGGACTGACGGATGGACAGACTGATGGACAGACAGACAGATGGGTCAAAAACATTATACCCGACAGAATTTTGTTCTGTGGGGTATAACAAGAACATTTAGAGCTTCCATAATGCTTAATTATTCTGTAGGGTTTTTGGTTAGATTCTTTTTGTTTGTTTATTTGTTTGTTTGGTAGGTTTGTCCCTTTTAAACTTTTTTGATTCGAGCGTCACTGATGAGTCTTTTGAAGATGAAACATGCATCTGGCGTACAAAATTTTAAGCGTGGTACCTATGATGAGTTTATTATATTTGATTTGACTTTAATTTTGTTTGTTTATTTGTTTGTTTGTTTATGTTCCTTTAGATTATATATCAGCATTAACGTATCCAGCAAAACGTCCTTTAAATTAGCATAAAATAAAGGTATCCTAAAAATATATATCAGCCTTGATTTAAGTTAACATAAAATAAAGGTATCCTTAAAATATATATCAGCATTAACGTATCCAGCAAAATGTCCTTTAAGTTAGCATAAAATAAAGGTATCCTTAAAACATATATCAGCATTAACATATCCAGCAAAATGTCCTTTAAGTTAGCATAAAATAAAGGTATCCTTAAAATATATATCAGCATTTAAATAAAGATACTACTGAAATGTAATAGTGGTCCTCTCTCTGTTCAATTTTTTACACTGAATTCGATACAGTCTAAAAGCAAGATCTTAAATTATAAACTGCTATCAGACCATTCATAATTACCTGTCACACCATAGTTAGACCATGCTGCAGTCATTTCCCTAAATTTTAAAGTAGCATGCAGCTTAATTTTAAAATGCAGAAGGCAATGTTTTAGTGAAATAATTGCTTTATTTTACTTATGTAACTGCCAAAAAAGTAGATGACCAATATGAAAGTGTGAACAAGCCAACAACACTCTTCACAAAAAAGAACCTGCATTCATTGCCTACTAGACTGTTACACATAACAAATAAGTTTACTTTAGAAAACCTTGCATTCATTGCCCACTAGACTGTTACACATAACAAATAAGTTTACCTTGTTGTAGTTGACAGTTCTGTTTTATATCCTGTATGGCCACATAACACTTTTCTCTATTTTATCCTCCTCACTGAATTACTGTCCTTTTCTATAAATCTGTAAACTTTGACATCATGTTTAGTGGATGATATACAACTGTTACCTGTTAATATTCAAATTTTCTTTTAAACTCCAAAATTTCACAATTTTCATTCAAAATCAGCTTTTCAATAATCCAATTCAAGGCTCTGATATAATTCAGTATGAATATAGTCTCTTAAATGTTACACATTTAGTTTTAGCTCTGAAGTCTGTCTATATTGATAAAAACAAATTTCTTCAGAACAACTTTCTGTTAAACTATTGTATTCAGAGATGAAAGTATGAAATTATTATTTCGCCAGGTAATAAGTATAGATGCTTCAATGATACGGAGCAGTCTACCACAAAGTCCCGCCTCCCTTTGAAAAGCATTAAGGTCCTTGCTTCATTACACTCCTTCAATAATAAATATATAGTTTTAAGGGTCACTCGATAACAAGTAGTTTACTTCTCCAAATTATAATGATGTGAATGGTAAAATAGCAATAAACATTAAAGTGATATCGACGGTGAATTGACGGCTATACTTGACTGATCCTGAGACGGTAGCATTTGTTATAACTGTATTGATCACACTGGGTTATATCAATACGTTTGTTTGGAACATAGAGAGGGTGGACCTACTGTTTGAACAGTATAAATGAATTACCTCGGATCAATTGTAATGATATTTGTTTTCAGAACAATACAAGTTTTAATTAGAAATTAAATGCCTCCAAGTAATGAACTTTTATTTGTAATAAGCAGTCAATTGTACCATGCTAATGAAAATACGGAAATAGCACAATAAGTAATTATACAAGTTTTTGAAAATTTTATAATCATCAGTTTCATCGATAAATGAAGTTTTAAGAGCCTGGTGCTGTATTACTCAGATTCAAAGAGCCATTTAAAACAAAGAAACAAAGAAATATGATTGTTTGTATAATAAATATTTAGTAAACAGATAATAGAAAAACACTTACAGATGTCAATACTCATTAAACACAAAAGAACCTCTTAAAATCAAACATTAGAACCTGAATCCAAAACAAATATTCACTAAAACATAATGATGCTTTCCTAGATTTACATACAATAGATCCAGGAAATATCATTTGAGAATTAGATAATTCAGAAAAAAAAAGATAAATGCCCTTAAAAATGTAAATTTTGGTGTCTTTGTTTATAAAAGACAATAAATTAAAGAGGATCATTGTATGTCCTACCTGATAAGCCATTATTGTGATAATGTACATAGAGTAAATATTCTTTTCTTGTTTGTTTGTAAATTACACATTTGCCCATACCATGGTATGTTAATATATTGGGTAAATAAATTCATTTCCTCAGAATGAAAGTGAATGAAATGAGATGTGGGTAATACATCAATGAGGCAGCAACCCTCAAACAAAGAAAAACCAAAGACATCTATACTATATGCTCCAGAGAAACATGTCAATATGTCATTACTATTGTTAGTTGTAAGAGCTTTCTTAAGCTCATGTTTATTATTGTTTGTACATATGTGCCTACTCTAAATAAAATTTACTTACTTACTTAATAATACTAATAACTAATCACTTTGCATTGTCTAAAAATAGAACTCTGTACTAAAGATGTTAAAGGGGCATTAGCTGTCAAATTCATGTTCATCGATTTGACTCAAATTCTCATATTTGATTTATAACATACTAAAACGTATATCCAAATGATAAAAAGTCTAAAATAAACAATTTAGATGCACAGACTCGATAATATGTATCAGTGTTTTGTGTGTATTTCAGTCTAGAGGCCATCTAATTAACCATCGAAGTGACCTCTGAAGACGGCTGATGGTTATATAACCCGATATAACCATAAATATATATAGATATAGCAAATGCAATTGGATTTTTCTAGGTCTGTTTGATTTCATATTATTTGTTAATAAAATATGTTAATCATCGTTTTTTTCATTATAAGAATGAGTTTTTATGGATCAAATCATTCAACCAAATGGTTTACTCTTGTTTCACTTTCCATGTTGACATTCTTTTCCCTTTAATGGCTGAGCATGTCTAATTCATGCTAACCCATCTCTAGCTTAGGGGTTAAATTGAAGGTCACATGAATAAGAATTCAATGAGGTCGAATTATTCACTTGCAAGTAAATAATTCATCAGCAATGTTCCTTGCTTATTTTGACAAAACTGAACCAAACTGGCTGTTAAAAGCAAATTATTATTTAACTATTTTACTATAATTAATGATTGAAAAAAAAAAATCATATTTCAATTCTTTTTTTATATCTCTTAGCTATAGCTAAAGTGTGAAGCAAAATATTGTCCCATGAATATCGTCTCCCAAGATGATATTTCACAATTTTGTATCATGAAATTTTGTCCCTATCTATGAAATAATGTCCAGAGAAGGACAAATTTCCATATGAAATTTTGTCCATATACAGACAATGTTTCATAGATGAATAGTATGAAATTTTGTCTTGTTAAAGGGAGGTTATCCAAGGTTATATATTGTGTACATTGAGATAATATTTCATAGATGGGTTGTCATGAAATTTTGTCTGATTAAAGGGAGGTTATAAACATTTAATATTTTAGATAATGATATCATCAAACATATGATGTTTAATTTCATTGATATTCATAACAAACAAACCTGCATAATTAATTTATGTAGCAATTTATGATTATACACATACTTTTCATGAAAAATAGTGAAAATATTTCAGAACTGCTCACAATTTCATGGCAGAGGCTTTCTCAGTGAAGACATAATTAGATTAAGAAATTTTTCATGGACACTATTTCACAGTGAAAAGTAAAATCACAAAAATACTGAACTCCGAGGAAAATTCAAAAAGGAAAGTCCCTAATCAAATGGCAAAATCAAAAGCTCAAACACATCAGACGAATGGATAACAACTGTCATATGAATATTGTCATGAACAGAATTTCCCAGTGAAATATTTTCATGGACAGTATTTCATAGTGAAATATTGTCCAAAAGGAGGAGACATTATTTCATGGACAAGGACACTATTTCATAATGAAATATTGTCATGGACAATATTTCATGGGGGACATTATTTTATGTTACAAATGCCCCTTTAACAATAGAACTCTGTACAAAAGATGTTAACAATAGAATTCTGTACAAAAGCTGTTAGCGAGAGAACTTTGTGCTAAAGCCGCTTAGAACTTTATACTAAAGCTGTTAACAATAGAACTCAAAGCTGTTAACAATAGAACTCTGTACAAAAGATGTTAACAATAGAATTCTGTACAAAAGCTGTTAGCGATAGAACTCTGTGCTAAAGCTGTTTAGAACTTTATACTAATGTTGTTAACAATGGAACTCTGTACTAAAGCTGTTAACAATAGAACTCTGTACAAAAGATGTTAACAATAGAACTCTGTACAAAAGATGTTAACAATAGAACTCTGTACAAAAGATGTTAACAATAGAGCTCTGTACTAAACCTTTTACCAATAGAATCCTTTATCAGCAATTTGTACCTTTTCCCTTTTGATTCTTAATCCTAATATTTTTTAAGATGTTTGACAAGATATGATGCCCCAAAAAATTGACATTACCTAACACTGCAGTAATGTCATGCTGACATTACCTAACACTGCAGTAATGTCATACTGACATTACCTAACACTGCAGTAATGTCATGCTGACATTACCTAACACTGCAGTAATGTCATGCTGACATTACCTAACACTGCAGTAATGTCATACTTTCAGTTTCATGTTCTTGCATGCCAAACATTACCTAACACTGCAGTAATGTCATGCTGACATTACCTAACACTGCAGTAATGTCATGCTGACATTACCTAACACTGCAGTAATGTCATGCTGACATTACCTAACACTGCAGTAATGTCATGCTAACATTACCTAACACTGCAGTAATGTCATGCTGACATTACCTAACACTGCAGTAATGTCATACTTTCAGTTTCATGTTCTTGCATGCCAATTTATCAATGAAATGCACACAATTTTATTCATGCAACCAAACCCTTATTGCAAAAGTTTGCACCCATAACAATAGTTTTAATAAGTATTTCATTATTTCATATTCTAAACAACAACTAAATACATATTGATAAGACAATATATTCTATACTGACTTCATCAGCTGGAATATATTAGCTTGCCTAAACAGGCTCCCTTGATATTTTTGCTGATAAATTCAGTATCAAAAACTAAAATGCCACTATTCTATATGTACTGGAGATGTTTATAATTGAAATCTATACTTGAGATGTGAAGGTTTCCCTGAAGTCCCCTTGCTTAGTGTTAGAATAATTGCAGACCATTTGACAAAATGTTTGGCTTATTAAATACTTATTTTAACTGTTGTAATTACGAACTGCCTCTTCAACATCGTCAGCAAGGGCTCTGCTTGCACAATTTTATTGGAGCAACAGAGACTGATGCATTCAAATCCATTCATGTTCATGGGGTGTCAGTTTTCATCAATTTTGACATCAGGATTTAACTCAGGAATATTTAAGAAATAATTCATGGCAGCCGTAGATTTGTTTTCATTTAACCATGGGTTGGGCATTTATATTCGATTATTTTACCCTGAGCGTTAGCGAGGGGTAAAATACGAATATAAATGCCCAACCCATTGTTAAATGAAAACAAATCTACGGCTGCCATGAATTATTTCGATTCTAATAGGACAAATTGGGTAATTTTGTTAACCGTGAAAGCCCTATACATACGATATTGTTTTGGCTGTTCCGTTTTACCCAATTTTGATAATATTAGTAATATTATATAATTCAATGATTATTTTATTTAATCGCATTTTCACTTATATATTTTCTTCCAATGTAATTTTATTTGTTCTGAGGCGTACAAGAAGCTTTAAAACGCCCAGTATTTATATTTGATTTTATTTTACGAAAACATACTTGTGATGTCACCTTGTTTCGTTGCCATGCCAAGACAATAACATCATTTCGCGGAATTTTCGTTTTATGAAATTTTACCATGAAAAATAAATTGAAATGGACTGATTTGTTTATTTTGCTGTAGAATAGAGATAAATATATTGTATCTGAATCTTGGCCTACGTAAACTTGGGGTTTTGATGTAGAAAAATTGAGAATATCTGGTAGTATAAATAAGTTGGTCGTAACGCTGAACAGCCATTTTTGAGTATTACTGCGTTTGCGCTAAAGGTAGATATATTGTGATTATACTGGTTGACGATAATAGGACGTCATATTAGAATTTTCAATAAATATTAAGTTTTATCAAAATTAAAGCACTTTATATTTTGGTGTGCATTTAGGTAAATGGTGGGCAACAAATATTGTTTGACACTGGTAATCATTTTGAAATAGCAAATTTTATCTCATATTGATTTTCATTGAAATTCTAGAAAAAATCAAATGGTTCTAAAAATATTTGACACCAGGGATCAGTTTGGATTGCATATTTAACCTGAACATCAATTTTTGTTATCACAAAAATATTTTTCAGAAATTTGTTTTCTTTTACCAAATATTTGACATTGAGAATCAATCTTGGAAT